TGGGTTTCACCATGTTGGCCAAGCTGGTCTCGAACTCCTGACCTCAAGTGATCCGCCCACCTCGGCCTCCCAAAGTGCTGGGATTACAGGCATAAGCCACTATGCCTGGCTCTTGAAATTCTATATCAAGAGGTCTACTTTCTGTTTTGCCTTTCAGCTGGTTACTGGCATTATTGCTGTAAGGCTGTAAGTTCTCTCTCTTTTTTTATTTTTTTAACATTGCTCTTCTTATAACTGAAAAACCCAGCAGACAACAAATTCTTTCCTTTTGTTGTTTTTGTGTTTTTTGTTTTTGTTTTTTTTTTTTTGAGACAGGGGTCTCACTCTGTCACCCACTCTGGAGTACAATGGTGTGATCTTGGCTCACTACAACCTCTGCCTCCCAGAATCAAGGGGTCCCCCTACCTCAGCTTCCCAAGTAACTGGGACCACAGGCTTGTGCCATCATTCCTGGCTAATTTTTTGTATTTTTTGTAGAGATCGTGTTTCACCATGTTGCCTAAGCTGGTCTTGAACACCTGACCTCAAGTGATCCTTCCCACCTCAGCCTCCCAAAGTGCTGGGATTACAGGCGTTAGCCACCATACCTGGTCCACTGCTTAATTTCTTAGCTTAATTGTATTTGGCCAAGGAAGATTCCTGTGCTTTTCTGTATTTTTTTTTTAGGGAGCCAAGAACCATGGGGTAGTCATGCCAGATGCTAATAAGGAAAATACCCTGAACCAGCTGGTTGGGGCAGCATTTGGAGCTGCTGGTCAGCGCTGCATGGCTCTTTCAACAGCAGTCCTTGTGGGAGACGCCAAGAAGTGGCTGCCAGAGCTGGTGGAGCGTGCCAAAAACCTGAGAGTCAATGCAGGTAATCAATCACCTGCCTTGCTCCCTTAGATTTTGCATCTGTGGCACTAAGCTCTTGAGTTCTGTCAGTGGCCTTGGCCAGTGGGAACAATCATGTCTATTCTTGCCATTTCCTCTCTTTATATTGTACTTGTCACTTGGATTCATCTCATTAGCAGTGTTTTTTTGTTTTTTTTTAAAGGCAGAGGCTCTCTGTCACCCAAACTGGAGTGGAGTGGTGCCATCCTAGCTCGTGGCAGCCTCAAACTCTTGGGCTCGAGTGATCCTCCTGCCTCAGCCTCCTGAGCAGCTTGGACCAGAGGTGTGCACCACCACCTGGCTAATTTTTTTATTTTTTGTAGAGACGAAGTCTCACTTTGTTGCCCAGGCTGGTCTGGAACTCCTGGGCTCAAGCAGTCCTCCTGCCTTGGCCTCCTAAAGCTTTGGGATTACAGGCATGAGCCCTGACAGCAGTCATAATTTATGTTAATGAGGACCTTAAATTCTTCTGTGTTGTTTTACAGGAGATCAGCCTGGAGCTGATCTTGGCCCTCTGATCACTCCCCAGGCCAAAGAGCGAGTCTGTAATCTGATTGATAGTGGAACAAAGGAGGGAGCTTCCATCCTTCTTGATGGACGAAAAATTAAAGTGAAAGGCTATGAAAATGGTAACTTTGTTGGACCAACCATCATCTCGAATGTCAAGGTGAACAACTTTTATTTCACAAATATGAGAGCTGAAGGTACCTTAAAGGCTATAGAATCTCATCCCTCTAATTTATTAATCAAAATACTTAATGACTAAGACTTCATCTCTTGCCAGGATTGATCAGTTATTTTATCTGGAGTCTGAATGGGCCTCCCCTTCTAACTCCCAACCAAACTCTTTCCACTATACCAGCAGTCTGCAAACTTTCCATAAAGGGATATTTTCAGCTTTACAGGAATATAGTGTCTGTTGCAACTAAACTCTGATGTTGTAGTGTGAGATCAGCCATAAACATTGGGTGGCTGTGTTCCAATAAAACTTTATTTATGGACACTGATACTTGAATTTCATATCATTTAATATATGATTAAGTATTTTTTTCAACCATTTAAAAATGCAGAAACCATTTTTAACTTGGGGGCTGTACAAAAACAGGCAGGAAGCCACATTTGGCCCACAGGCTATAGTTTGCCAAACACTATCTTATCTTATACTGGTTTGTTAATGTTTTCTCTCCTGTGTCCCTCTTGCTGCCTAGCTTATGGCTACTGCAGTGTCTCAATCAATATATCAACCACCCGATATTTATTGAAAGTGACAGAAATAATTGACTTGTCAATTTTTATTTATCAAAACTTTGAAAGTCTCTCAGCTAACATGAGTTAAAAATTGAGGTAATGAGGCGTTTTTGAAATTCATATAGTCCTAGTATAATAGTGAATCATCAAGTGTTGAATGTAAGTGCAGTAGAAATTATGAAATCTCTTGCCACAGAACCATACAGAAAAATCCGTTTACCAGCAACAAACATTAATTGCATGGTGAAGGATGTTTTGAGTGTCTATGACCTGATATCAAAATATAAACATACAGACTTTTTTGGGAGGCAAAGGAGTGAATAAGAATGGATTCTTTATGTTATAGAAAACAGCATTGGGTTTCTATAAAGAGAAAAATTATCCTGGTATATTTAATATAGATTGGATTTATAAAAAATAAATTTTCATGTAACTTTTTGATGACAATTGGATGAAACAAGTTGTTCAGGTATTAAAAAGGAAGCTAATGATGGGTCCCTTAAAAGAAGTGTGGTTATTGTTGATAGGAATTCCAAGTTGTTTATATGATTGGTAACTTGGAAGATAGAACACAGTTAAGAGAGGACTTTTTTTAAAATAAGTGATTTGAAATGAAAAGAGATTACTAATATGAAAGTTGTCCATGTAAATGATGTGTAGTAAATGAAAGTATCAAATAAGCGTAAAATACTCAGAATCCAAAAAGCTCACTTCTTTTCTGGATGCATCACTCCTGGCAGCCAAATATGACCTGTTACAAAGAGGAGATTTTTGGTCCAGTTCTTGTGGTTCTGGAGACAGAAACATTGGATGAAGCCATCCAGATTGTAAATAACAACCCATATGGAAATGGAACTGCCATCTTCACCACCAATGGAGCCACTGCTCGGAAATATGCCCACTTGGTGGATGTCGGACAGGTTTGTGAACAGAATTTTTAAGAGATTCTTATATCCATTTACTATTTCCTAAGAGGAAACAGTAAATAATGGTGAGTCATTGGTTTAAGATTGCCCCCATGACCTCCCACATTGCCCCATTTCTTCCTCAGGAATGAAAGTTCATGAGGTAAAGGACAGGGTGGAAGGTGGGTATTTAAAACTGGTCTCTGATGACGTTGTGCTTCTAAATGGAGAGTTCCTTTGTCCTTGGGGTATGACACGGATTTGTTCTGTTTTAGGTGGGAGTGAATGTCCCCATTCCAGTGCCTTTGCCAATGTTCTCATTCACCGGCTCTCGATCCTCCTTCAGGGGAGACACCAATTTCTATGGCAAACAGGTAACTTTTGAGTTAAAATTTTTGTCTTTTCCCTTAAGAAATTTTCTTAAAGATATTCAGGAGCAAGGATTCTGCAAGGAAGGGCCTGCCAGCAGCTTCTGTGGGGTCATAATCAGTGCTTCTCAGAAGGTTCCCTAAAAAAGATTTAAAAGTTAACAAAATTTTGCCAAGCTGCTTCTTCCTGAATAATTCAAAGCAACAAAGTTTTGAGGAAAGAACATGGGGAAGTCCAAGCCTTTGTATATGCCACTTCCTGAGCGTGTGACCCTCTTCGCCATCTCTCCCCTTTCATCTGACTAACTCCTAATCATCTGTCATGTCTCAATTTAAAGAATGAGCTCTTCCAGAAAACCTCCTCCAACTGCCACCACCCCTCCCTCAGTGCTGGGTGGTGTGACCCCAGTGTGTTCCCATTGCACATAGTTTTTCTGTAATAGTTATTCATTTACAAAAAATGTTATTGAGCATCTTCTTTGTAGCAGACATTATTATTATTATT